ATTGACCTATAGCAATTGGCCTATAGCGTAAAATTTCATGGACTCATATATTTCAGACACAAAATTAAAAAAAAACGGTTCTTGTATCTACACATCTCAGAAAAAGGATCAGCGAAAAGGAAGGTTTCCAGGATCGCAGCTAACAACCCAAATCCAACAACCAGTTAAAACGCCAAAATATCGGGGCATAGAAAATGAAACATATCTCAACAGGCATAAAACCCAAAAACCAGAGAAATGTCAGAAGTCACAGAATCCCCAAACCAACTCCTGTCATTGATCTAAACTGGGCAAAACCTAAAAACTCTTAATGTCATCATTTTTCCCCGAAAAAAATAAAAATTTTCATTTCCTGCATCAACACTGCTCAGAAAGAAGATCAGAGTAAAGAAAGCAGTCCAAGGCTCGCAGCTAGGGTAATCGAAAGGATACGTGATGATCAGAAAAGAAAATTTGGAAAAGAAGAAGGTTCAATCTCCTCTAGGGCGACGAACCAAAAAGGAAACCAGCGAGGGAGGAGGCAAGGGAGATCGAGGGCACCTCCGAAATTCCTAGGACAACACGGATGGCTAACGCAGGACGCGGGGCTCGGACAGCGTCGAACGACATAAAGGAATTAACCAACGCAGACGCAATGCGGGAGGCTAACGCCGGTGCGAACGCAATTAACAAACAGGGGCCTAAGATAAAAAAAACATTATTTATAAGAGGTGATTATAAAAGCAAATAATAATAATTTCAAAAAATAAAAATTATTAGTGATTTAAAAGTGCTCCAATTTCTTTCACAAACTGATGAACTGCAGGTGAGGGCTAAGAACTCCAATAACAAAATTCATTAACTCAGGTGTTTTCCCAGCAAATCGCATCCACCAATCAAAAGATCTTAACTTTCTTATGTTCATTGCAACTCTGCTCCCAAAGTTTTCACTTAAAGTTAACATACAAGTCTAGTTGAATATTAGCTCTAAAACGATCTTCATAATCCAACATTTTTCCACACAAGCAATTAACCCTTCTTTCAACTCTTCATCATTAGAAAAATTATCCTCATAATTAAATTAAAGGTTTAAATATAACCAGTCACATGTAGTGGTATATGAAGTTGGACTTCCCATCTTACCTCAATGTTCCTCCAAATAGGTTCATACTTCTTTTCATTATGCTCACAATTAAAAGCAATTTTTTTCTTATGTCGAATCCGTTAACTCATAAACATAACCAAGTTGGTTTTCCTTCTGAGTCAAC